GCACAGTAACAAGATACAGTGACCACCAACAGAAAAGCTTCTGTTGTTCTGTTTTTTTCCATTAAAATTTTTCTAGGCTTCATTGTGTTTAAGGGGTGCAGTCTAACATGTGTTAATGGTTCGTTTAAAAAAAAACACATTATTTTTCCACATAATTTACCTTTATTCCACACAGCTCTGTCCCTTCTCTGAGAAACGGGCTGATTTTTTCCTGTTTTTATGAAGCCCCGCCCACAGAAATACGCGATGGGCTCTGATTGGTTAGCTAGCCCAGTGTGTTGTGATTGGCTAAACCGCCTCTAGTGCGCGTCTAAAGTCCTGCCCCTCACCTCAGCGGCATGTGCTCCGGTTGTATTGTAAACAATGGCGTTGTTAATATCGCTTATCAGTTTGAGCCCGATTGAGAAGCAGAAGATATTATTGAAGAGGATCGTGTAGAACCTGTGCAAGCACGGCTTTTAATGGTAGGCCTATGTTTTTTGTTTGTTGTCGTCTCATACTTTTAGATATGCTGTTACTTGTAAATGCTAATGCTTATGTTAGCTTTTAATATACGGTTTTATCCTGATTAAAGCTTTAATACAATATATGGCAACTACACGCGCGTCCATGTATAATGCTTCTCATAGCTATGTGAAAATAATAAGTGTATAATTGGAAGTTAATTTTTGGAGGGTTTGTGATGTCACGAACCCGGGAAGTAACTTCTTGTAGTCCCTACCAGCCGTTTTTGTAGGCATTAAACTGCCAGAATTTTAAAAGACAATATCTCTGTTTGCATTGAACGTTCAGCTTCGTAACTTTGCAGATATTGTTTATGCTCAAACAGCAACATTACACACTAACTAATGTTAAAAAAGTGAAATCGCAATGAACCACCCCTTTAAATTAAGTTGTATTAATCAAAAAACATGTCTAATTAATTCAAATCATGAAACAATTTAACATCAATTTTCAATCAAAAGTTTAACAAAAGTTACATGTTTAGGGCCCTATGAAATGTTTTATTTTTTCCAACCTTATGTTTTATTGTTACCAGATTCTGTGCATGTCTTATTATTTGAAAGCATAAAAATAAGTTTCATCTATTCTTACAATAGCCTGATGATTTTTTTTCCTCAGAAATTCTGTGTTGTGTATTTACATATTTTATCATTTCATTTCTCTTTTATTAATGAAAATTAAACAAATGTTATTTTTGGAAAATAAAGGGGATTTAATATTACAATTAAAACATTGAAGAAATATTGTATGATTATTCCTTAAAAATAAGGTTTTAATAATTTTAGAATTAGCAGCCTATTACGTACATTCTACTGAACAACAGTAAGATATTTCTGCCACAATGTCTTCAAGTTAAACTAAACTTTTATTTTGACGGGTTGCCGTGAATACTTTTACATTCCTGTGTTTATATGACATAAGGATAGTTTTCTCAAATGAAATGGTAAAATGATCATGAAGTGACTCTCAGAGCAGTTCTGGAGATGTTGTTCATGTATTTATGTCCTCATTAGTGAGACAGCAGACGTTAACATCACCGGAAGCGTCACGCGCGCTTCAGTACGAGTAGTAAACAAAACCACGCATCTGCGCCATTCAATAACACATAGACACGCAGAATTCATATTTAAATAGTCGTTTCGCGGCTTAATATTTACAAATACTAGTGGGAGTGTGCTCACTTGTGAACTCTGCTGTGCGCGATACAGAGAGCGCGACCATGTAACGTAGAGACAGAAATGACATGCCGTCGTGTAAATAAGATAAATAACATAAGGCTATTTAGTTTGTTTAATAAAAGAAGGTAGACCTGTTCTACATGAAAGGTAACTTTAAATGACTTCTGATCTGGTGCTATAGAGAAAATAAAATTAAATAAAATTAACTTGACCTTCAAGGGGGGCAGGGGGTGCGGTCCGCCCCACTAATATAATGGCAGGTGAAACACTGAATTTGAAATTTCAATTTGAAGTGAAAGTAAAATGTGCATGCCCCTTTTACAAACTATTTAAAAGCAAGCAAACCCCACCCCCCACTGTGATTCCGGTATTACCGGTGTTGTCACACGACAATTAACCAGTGGGAAAATTTCCTCACCATCACAACCCTACTCAGAATTTGACTTCATTTTCATTTTTGGGTGAACTATCCCTTTAAAGTGCAAAAAGACTGCTTTTTAAATATGAAGTCTTCATATTCGTTATGATCATAAGCATTTTCTCGCAAAAAAGTTTTTACGCTCGCTTGAAGTGGTTTTTGACTTGTGCGAAAAAGGGTGAATGCGAATAATGTAAGATGGAAATACATTTTGCGACTAAATTCCTCCAAGCGCATCAATAAAGTAATGTGACTGTGCGTTATGGGACGGCAAATCCTAACTAACCAGTGTTCCACAGCATCTGAAATGTTGTTATATGGTCATTTGGAAATGCCCGAGCAAAGTCTGTCATCAAAGTATTTCTGTATAATTGCCTCCCAGAACTGTTAAACGACTGCGTTCCCAAACAGCAGCATCCACCTCAGAAAGCAATAATCGCATTCATTGTGTTTCATCTGCTCATTCTGAGGTGCAAGCAATTTATTATATAGGAAAATTATTATATTCAGTAGCTTCTCCTACTTTTCTCAGTGATGTATATTGCCAGTTTATCAGGAAGTGATGACTTTGTTCTCTTTGACTCGTTGGATGAAAACACAAGTTAAATTCGCAACTTAGGTTGGAAACCCGGCTTATGTTTACAGTCTGCTCGTCACCCCACGGAAGAGAGGGGCGGGGTGAGTAGAGCTCATTAGCATTTAAAGCGACATGCAAGGAAACGGCTTGCAATGAACAGAGCTGATTTTGACAAGGTAAAAAGGGTGTTTTTTACACTACCATTGAGAAATTAACCAAAGTATGTTATAGGCTTTTCATTAAGACCCTAAAGAATCATATCAACTGAAAAATGGGCATCCAAGGTCCCCTTTAACAGGTTCCGTTAACATTCGTTAACTCCATTAGCTAACATGAAATAACGACTGCATTTATTAATCTTAGCTCATGTTAATTTCAACTTTTAATAGGCCTAACACATTATAAAATCAAACGTTGTGTCTGCTAATAATATTCAATGGAGCTAACATATATAATAAATAGTTATATTTTTAATTAATAAACTAAAAATAATATTAACTACTGCAACAATTAGCTATTGCACATTGTTAGTTAATGTATTGTTAACCTGCTTTAACTAATGTAAACAAATGGGACCTTATTGTAAAGTGTTACCTATTGTTCTTTAGGTCATTTAAACTTAATCTTTTGCATTCTAATCACGAAACACTTGTTTACTTTATATTTGTGTGTATTTTTTAATAAAGTCTTTCTTTATTAAAAGTCTTTCTTTAGTAAGTTAGGAGGACAACACTTTTTCCCCCACTTAGAAATTATATATGGTGGGGAAAAAAACACCATAAACAAAAGCTTCAATGACTATTGTGAAAATTTGATACAGTCACATACAATTTAATAGGACTTTAAATAATTACATAATTATCCTATTAAATAGAGTCTGAATCAAAATTATTAAAAAATCTTGTGTGCTTTCTGTATTCTGATCAATTAAATAATTGTGCTTGTAAATGTCTCCTTCCCTTATTAAGCTAAAACACATAATTTGAAAAATGTATGTTAAACTTAATTTTTTTTATTAAAAACTTAGGAGCACATGGGTAGCATCAAGCCCTGTTAGGACAACATAAATTTAGCCTGAAAATGGCTAGTGTCGATTAAATATACTTTCAGGCACATTATTTTTGGATTTGTAATAACTAGAAACTACACACAAATACATAAGCCCAAACAAAGCACAAAGCAGACACTTAAGGCTGAAATACACCACATTACTTTTGCCCAGATTTTGCCCTGATTTACAATCAAGACAAGTTGACGCTAATTGCCAAAAAACAGAGCCATTCTGTAGATATATGTTGACAGATATCACAGAAAAATCAGATCGCGTGATGGTCACAGATTTGTTTTTTTCTACTTCAGACTATGATTCCATCCATCTGAGGATATCAAACATGTTTGACATTTTGTGCCAGTTTTAGAAGAACGCATATTGTTTTAATTTTTTACACATCTACTGGTAACAAGGCACATTTCTGAGTGAGTTTGTTGCGTTCTGAATTATTTGAAAATCTAGTAGCGTGTCGTTTATAAAGTAAACGACTTTATTCAACAATTCGTCTCTTCCGCATCACCCTGTAGCACCATTTTGAAGAGACTAATTGTTGAATAAAGTCGCACAGAGCTGGAAAAGTGTTTGTGATGTTGAAAAATACAATACTTTAATTCGCTTACATAATTCCTTTAGAAACAAGGAGAGGACGGTATGCATTTTGTATTTTTGCAATTTCTTAAATACAAATAAATGTATTGTATGTATTAATAAATGTAATAAGCAGCCATATCACCCTGCAGCCCAAGACTGGTTGTCCACTGAAGCTAAGCAGGGTTGAGCCTGGTCAGTACTTGGATGGGAGAACTCCTGGGAAAACTAGGTTGCTGTTGGAAGAGGTGTTAGTGAGGCCAGCAGGGGGTGCACACCCTGTGGTCTGTTTGGGTCCTAACGCCCCAGTATAATGATGGGGACGCTACACTCTTAAAAATAAAGGTGCTTCAAAAGGTTCTTCACAGCGATGCCATAAAAGAACCATTTTTGGTTCCACAAAGAACCATTCAGTCAAAGGTTCTTTAAAGAACCATCTCTTTCTTACCTTTTTGTAATCTGAAGAACCGTATTTCGCCACAAAGAACCTTTTGTCAAACAGAAAGGTTCTTCAGATGTTAAAGGTTCTTTATGGAACCATTTAGACAAAAAGGTTCTTCTATGGCATCGTGAAGCACCTTTATTTTTAAGAGTGTAGAACAAATCAGGTAGTGTTTAACGTTAAAACACAACCCCAATGTATTTTCTGAGAGAAAAAAATAAAACCTTCAGGGAAAAACATACCTGCAGTAGAGGTGTTAAAAAAATTCCCAGGATCCTCTGGCACTTTGGGAGCACTTCTCTCAGTGCTGAGAACGAAAGGGGCCCTGCTGGGGGCCACGGCCTCTATGCTGGCAGGCTGGTTCACCCTGCTGTTGGGCTCCAGCGTTAGGCTGGCCTGGGATCCCCCTGTCGACGTCATTTTGGATTTAGGCTGGGCTACATTACGAGACGTGACCGGCCTGGATTCGTCGTCACTGTCGAATCCGAACGGATCCTCTGATCCATCACCATCCAAGACCTTGGTCCTCTTGGTCTGATCTGTGACCTCGGTCTTCAAACCGGGCCTCTTTGCTCCCACCTTGGCTTTGTAAGTCGTCTCGCCCCATTTGGTGCTGAGCGTGGCTCTTTTATTGGACAACACCTCGTCAAACTTCGAGGTCCCATCGCCTCCTCTTCGGCTGTATGTTTTTCCAAATCTAGATGTCATTGTGGCATCTGTCTCATATTCCCTGTGAACAACCATCAACTGTTACATGAATAATTCACTGGCTGTTTTGTAATCAAATGTTGACTATTAACAGTCTGTCTCAAGTTTCATCTGTTCATAATGAATAAAATCAACATTATTCAGCATTCTACATGTGTGAAGATCTCTGGGCTATTCATTATAAAACAGATGCACTCATAAACTCAATCAAACCTGACAACTACTTGCATTTCTGTGCTGATAACAAACAGGAAACTAGAATTATTTCATAATATGATTTTGATTTCAATACACATATGAATTGAAGTCAATGCTGTAATGTGCTCAAAAATTAATAGATTTAAATTAATATTTCACCAAAAAATGAATGCATGTTGGCAGTTTACACACCATCAGGCCATTCAACAAGTAGGCTATATGAGTTTATTTCATCTTCATTGGAACAGATTTGGAGAAATTTTGGATTACTTGCTCACCAATGGATCCTCTGCAGTGAATGGGTGCCACCAGAATGACCGTTCAAACTGCTGATAAATGCATCAAAATCCATGTGACTCCACATGAACAATTTTTGTCTTTTGAAGTTAAAAGCTGTGTGCTTTAATAAGCAAATCCCTTTTTAGGGTTTTTTTTGTTTGTTTTTTTAACTGTCGCTTCTGGTCAAAATACCAGTCCATAACGTTACCTCCAGCAAAAAAAAAAACCAAACAAAACAAAAAAAACTTCCCCGGTTGTCCTCTTACATCGAAATCAATCAACATATTTGTTTAAAACTGTTTTGGACTGTTTTCACTTGTAAATAATCTTTGAATATTTCTCTCCTGATTGAGCCAAAACAACCTTTTCACTGAAGAAAGCAATATTATAGATGGAGGACTTGCATTTTAGCCAGAAGCAATGTTGTCTTTATTAATGGATTTGTTCCTTACAAACAAACAGCTTTTCACTTTCACTGGATTATTTGTAGCTTATTGTTATTTTTTTTTCACATTGTGCATTTATCATTATTGGACAACACCTCGTCAAACTTCGAGGTCCCATCGCCTCCTCTTCGGCTGTATGTTTTTCCAAATCTAGATGTCATTGTGGCATCTGTCTCATATTCCCTGTGAACAACCATCAACTGTTACATGAATAATTCACTGGCTGTTTTGTAATCAAATGTTGACTATTAACAGTCTGTCTCAAGTTTCATCTGTTCATAATGAATAAAATCAACATTATTCAGCATTCTACATGTGTGAAGATCTCTGGGCTATTCATTATAAAACAGATGCACTCATAAACTCAATCAAACCTGACAACTACTTGCATTTCTGTGCTGATAACAAACAGGAAACTAGAATTATTTCATAATATGATTTTGATTTCAATACACATATGAATTGAAGTCAATGCTGTAATGTGCTCAAAAATTAATAGATTTAAATTAATATTTCACCAAAAAATGAATGCATGTTGGCAGTTTACACACCATCAGGCCATTCAACAAGTAGGCTATATGAGTTTATTTCATCTTCATTGGAACAGATTTGGAGAAATTTTGGATTACTTGCTCACCAATGGATCCTCTGCAGTGAATGGGTGCCACCAGAATGACCGTTCAAACTGCTGATAAATGCATCAAAATCCATGTGACTCCACATGAACAATTTTTGTCTTTTGAAGTTAAAAGCTGTGTGCTTTAATAAGCAAATCCCTTTTTAGGGTTTTTTTTGTTTGTTTTTTTAACTGTCGCTTCTGGTCAAAATACCAGTCCATAACGTTACCTCCAGCAAAAAAAAAAACCAAACAAAACAAAAAAAACTTCCCCGGTTGTCCTCTTACATCGAAATCAATCAACATATTTGTTTAAAACTGTTTTGGACTGTTTTCACTTGTAAATAATCTTTGAATATTTCTCTCCTGATTGAGCCAAAACAACCTTTTCACTGAAGAAAGCAATATTATAGATGGAGGACTTGCATTTTAGCCAGAAGCAATGTTGTCTTTATTAATGGATTTGTTCCTTACAAACAAACAGCTTTTCACTTTATAGCATGCTAATTACTGGACTGGAGTCATGTGGATTATTTGTAGCTTATTGTTATTTTTTTTTCACATTGTGCATTTATCAACTGCTTGGAACCTCATTCTGATGATGGCACCCATTCACTGCAGAGGATCCACTAGTGGTGAGCAAATGATTTGATGAGCAAACCATTGCTACATTTTTCCAAATCTGCTCCAATGACGAAAAACAAACTCATCTACATCTTGCATGGCCTAAGTGTGAGCAAAATTTTCAGCAAATTTTCATTTTGCACTGTGAAAGTTCCAAGATCCTGACTACAATAACAGCACTAAAGTAAACCAATTTGAGGCTGGCCATTGATTTGCAACCTAGCTAGTCCCAGCTGGACAAACCCCAAAAATATTAAACTAAATGTATGCTACAATTCCATTCAATACTTTCTGTACACAAAGCCATCAGAAATATCAGAATAAATAAGTTTAAATGTCACTTAGGGCTGCACGATAAATCGAAATGGAATCGAGATTGCGATTCGCCAGAAGCTGTGATTGTCATGGGTATCTTTCAGTGAAGCACGGTTCTGTGATCAGCAGTAAATCTCCATCCAAAGGCCAGAGGGCGCTCTCATACTGAAACGCCAAATACGCCTCGCAGAAGAACCCCAGAAAATCGCTGCAGCTGAATAAACAGAAGATTCAACTGCTTTCATTGATTCAACGTGACTAATAAACACACGACTACGGCAATATACGGTTCATCGGAGTTCTTATTATTATAATTTTCATTAAAATAAAGTATATTTATAATGCAATGTTTTTATCACTGCTTAAATACTATGAAATATGTTGCGTGCCTTATTCTGTGTAAGAAGCCGCCTCATCTCACAGAAGGATTTATTTCAAACACTCGACTGACGTTATGAAGTGAGTTTGGAGTAAAAATATGTTATTAAATGTGGTATTTTTCACATGCTTTCAGATGGAGCAGCATTTACTTCGCAGAGCCGTAGTTCACTGAGAAGCTATGCAAACGGCTGTCATAATCGCGAACGATTTCGGAATCGTGCAATAAAATCGTCTGCGATTTTTTTTGCGTAACTTGTCAGTGAACTACGGCTCTGTGTAGTAAATTCTGCTCCATCTGAAAGCACGTGATGATGATTTCCTGCCGATTACAGAACCAGCATTACTATCAAAATGTGCATGACAGACGCATTCGATTAATCGTGCAGCCCTAATGTCACTTTGTACTAGCGCTGTGCGATATTGAAGAAAAATGCGATATTCGATATGCGGTACGATAATGCTTAAAGTGCCACATGCTCAGATGAAACCATTTTACTCGGCTGTTGCCGAGTCAGTTCTGTGAACTTCTATAACTATCTTGTGTCATATATATGGTTATTTGTATGTATGTATGTATCAAGAGCTCCTGTAAAACCACAACAAATTCCTTGTGTTTGCGCACACTTAAGTGGTGAATAAAGCTCATTCTGATTCTAATATAACTAGCATACATGTTTCACTTTTTGTGAGAAGAAAGCACCCCTACAACAACTTCTGAAAGTGAACAGTAGTGTTTTACTCGAGCATTACATAAAAATGTCATTTGAACATGAGTTTAGGAACTGAATAATAAAAAGGAAAAACACAACACTGCTTAGTATTTACTCTATGAATTCAATATGCACTGATTCTTATTTAAGCTACAAAAGGTATTTAGATAAGAGCAGTGAGTGATTTTCTCTTTGTCTTTTGTTCATGGCCCCAAATATTGCAAGCCGTAGCGATATGCATATTGCGATATGTACATTTGCGATATTTCGATAATTCCGATATATTGCACAGCCCTACTTTGTACCCTACATAAGAAAAACTAAACTGAAATCATGTGCTCAAAAAATTTAAAAAGTTTAAATTAATATATGAACAAAAAATAATAACAGGCAGTGCAAGTTCCAAGATCTAAAAAAAAAAACATGAATTTTCGAGTTGCATTCATTGACGTCCCAAGGAAAATGCCATTGAACATTAATATAGCAATCATTCAATCCCATGGCATTACCATCATCATAATGTTAGCTCTTTACTGGCTTGCAAACTAACTAGTGCCAACTGAACAACCCCTAAAATGTTAAACAGAATATATGCAACAATTCCAATCGATATCATTGCAAACACAGCGACTGTCCCTCAATAATCAGCAATAAACTAAGAATGCTAAAAGCTAGTATGATTATAAGCTAATGCTAATAATTGTAAGTTACCTGTTCTCTTCTGTTTACCTTTCACTTTGCAACGTTCCTCCCCTCGCTAAGCAAATAAGACATTAACACAACTTCTTTACGTGGATTCCAACAAAAGAGTGTCTGAAAACCAGCTTAGCTGATCAAAACAACATAACCATGCGAACGGCTAATGGGCTAGCAAGAAGACTAGCATGAAAAGGCTAGCAGGCTAACTTAATCAGGCAATGTGGTGAAATGCACTCCTATATCCAGCATTAAAACTCAATCGCTATTTGGTTCAAATGTAGATTTTGAATCTACAGAAGAACTGAACCCACAGCAGGACCAAAGGAGGTTAAATACTCGCCTGGTTAATGAAGAGAATGAATCCGGGCCTCTGAGCTCCACTAACACTATAAACAAACACTAAACACTGACAAGCACTGCTTCACGAGCTCCACCAGCACAGTTCTACGTGTTTCTGAGTTTCGATGTAACGGAACATAAAGATTCACAAGCTTTCTATGTAAGTTTTCCTCATGTATTTCTCCCTCGATTGTTTCGGCACTGAAACACCAACGGCCTCCATTCGCGTTCCTCCTCCCTCGCGTTTTCGCGTCACGACAATCGCGTCGCGGCACAGGCGTAAAAATGTTGACCAATCACGGGCCGCGCTGTGCATACGTCAGACGGTTTTCGAGGCGTGTAATTGGTTAGTCCTGGAAAGAGCCTTGAACAGGAACGCAATGGGCGTCACGTACGCCTTGCTGAACTATGGGAATTGTAGGCAGTTGTTGGTTTTATGTTAAAGGGGTCCTATTATGCACTTTTACAAAGTCTTGATTTTGTTTTGGGGGTGTACTAGAACAGGCTCTCATACTAGGTTGTTCTAAAAACACATTATTTGTCACATATTTAGCATGATTACAACACCTCTCTCCCCAGTCTGGCATGAACGTCTCGAATAGTTCCTGTATCAAATGAAGGCCCGCCTTCTGAAAGACAAAAAAAAGACAAAAAAACAGCACAAATATGCGTTGTAGTCCAAACGAGTCGTTCGTTGTAGTTTTTGAAAAGTGATTTCTGTTGGATAAAATATCTCCTTTTGAAGTGGACTTTGAGCTTTGTAACTTTGCAGATCTTTTTTATGCTCAAACAGCAACATTACAGACTAACTAAAGTCGAAAAAGTGAAAAAGCATAATAGGACCCCTTTAAGGAATTTACTGAAATAACGCTTAACAGACAACAATATATACATACACGTGCAAGAGGGCTATATTCAACTAGAATCTTTGTTTAGTACAAAAATGTTTAGTAATTAGTAATACGATTATCGTCTACATTTTGGGCCAATAGTGAATGTTTTCGTTTGTTAATATAACGTTAGCATTTTATTTCTTCGGTTTGTTTTGGTCAGGAATCTGACAGGTCAAGTGACCCACATGTCTCCTAGCAACAGGACCTGTCAACAAGGAGTAGACATGGCCCATAAACGCTAAGTTTCTTTTGATTTGCATCCACCTGTACAGTACTGCCTGGTTTATTTTGTGGCTTTCAGTGTTTATTTAAGATGTAGTGAGAAACAACGCTATATTCATTAAACGTTTTTTAGTCTTTTAACGTCTTAAAAGTGTTTAAAACATGATGTGAACTGTCAGTCAGCGCCAGTGAAAGTATTAAGTTAGAGAATGCACGTCCAGTGGAGTCACTTATCCAGCAGGAATGTGCCATTCAGACCTCACACAAGGTGAGTTAAAGCATAAGTGTTATGTACTTGTCATTAGGAAACATTACGATTTTTAAATGTTGTTAATAAAGTTTCCTATTTTCACCAAAAGTGCGTTTATGTGCTGAAAATACATCTAAACACTAATATTGTGAAATAGTATTATGCATTAAAATAACTGCTTTCTATTGTATCATATATATATATATGTGTGTGTGTGTGTGTGTGTGTGTGTGTGTGTGTGTGTGTGTGCGTTTTTGTGACAAATGAGGACATAAATTTGTATAATGACAAAGGTATGACAGGTATTACAAGGAGAAGGTGACTTTTCAGTACATTACCCCATGTCCCCACTTTTCAAAACGCTTATAAATCACACAGAATGGAGTGTATTGAAAATCTGAAATAGCACAAAGTTTCCTGTAAGGGGTAGGTTTAGGGGTAGAGTTGGTGTAGGGCAATAGAATATACGGTCTGTACAGTAGAAAAACCATCACGCATATGGAGAGTCCCCACTTTTCACAAAAACAAACCTGTGTGTGTGTGTGTGTGTGTGTGTGTGTGTGTGTGTAGACAGTGCCGCTTGAAAGTTTGTGAACCCTTTAGAATGTTCTATATTTCTGCATAAATATGACTCAAAGCATAATCAAAATTTCACACAAGTCCTGAAAGTAGAAAAAGAGAACCCAAACAAATGAGACAAAAATATTTATTGAGAAAAATGATCCAGTGTTACATATCTGTGAGTGGCAAAAGTATGTGAATCTTTACTTTCAGTATCTGGTCTGGTCCACTTTTGCAACAATAACTGTTTCTTGTAACTGCTGATCAGTCCTGCACAACATCTTGAAGGAGTTTTAGACCATTCCTCAACACAGAATCGCTTCAGCTCTGTGATGTTGGTGGGTTTCCTCCTATGAACAACTTGCTTCAGCTCCTTCCACAAAATTTCAATTGGATTAAGGTCCGGACTTTGACTTGACCATTACGAAACATTCGCTTTGTTCTTCTTTAACCATTCTTTGGTAGAACAATTTGTGCGCTTGGGGTCGCTGTCTTGCTGCATGACCCACTTTCTCTTGAGAATTAGTTCACTGACAGATGTCCTGACATAATTATAAGGTCCGTACTTTGACTTGACCATTACGAAACATTCGCTTTGTTCTTCTTTAACCATTCTTTGGTAGAACAATTTGTGCGCTTGGGGTCGCTGTCTTGCTGCATGACCCACTTTCTCTTGAGAATTAGTTCACTGACAGATGTCCTGACATAATTATAAGGTCCTTATGCTGGAATGCAGTGTGTTCTTTTCTTCATTTAAACCAAAAAGCTCTATTTTGGTCTCATCTGTCCACAAAACGTTTCTCCAGTAGCCCTCTGGCTTGTCCGGTGAAGAATGTTGGTAACCAAACATTTGATGCTAGCCATTGACTTCCATAGTATAGTAAATAAATAGATAAAAATACAGTGGAAGTCAATGTCTATATCAACTGTTTGGTTGAACTATCCCTACCACATGAAACCTTATATCACAATAAAATCATAAAATACATGTGAAGAATAGCATTAAAATGACTATAACTTACTATTACTATTACTATTGTAAATACAATGTAAAAACATCATAACACAATAAAAATAATATCTTACAATCTAGACCCAAAAAACCTAAATACAAAACCCACAACAACGATGAAAAAATGGTGTAGAAACATGTTTCACTCAGAAACTGCTAGCAAATTACACTACAACGAAACGGCAAGTAACACATTGAATTAAACATGACGTTTTGAAGAAATAGTATTTACTTAGTTTTTTTTTTTGTGGTGAAATATAGTTTACAGTATACTATATGCTAAAAATGCAATGCAGCAAAAGTTATTCTATCTAGCTATCTAGCTATCTATCTATCCATCCATCCATCCATCCATCTATCTTTGTGTGTGTTTTATATTTGTTTGTTTATGTATTTGTGTTTTTGTACAACTTATCGGTTACTTTGCATTATACACAGAGCAAGATAGATCCAATTTATCCACAAATCATGACAACACACGTCTTTCAGAATGGTGTTTAGATTTGGCAAAGGCTTTCTTATATCAAGAAGTAACCAACTTGCATTAATGAGTTTTACCCATAATGCCGTAGCGCGTCTTCAGCATTGACTTTTGCCAGAATCCTGGGTTGACCAGGGGGATACGAGTGTCAGTCTGTGCCAACCCGCCGACCTGGTGTCACAAACCTGGCATCATTTTAGAGATAGGCACCTGTAGGGTTTTGGCGCAGGAGGGGTTTAAGAGGCATTGGCAGTTACACACTTTAAGGCACTTTACCCAGAGAAACAATAAGAAAGACAGTATGGCTTTTGATTCCTATGCCAGGTCTTTTTAATTCGGAATAATCAGAATATTGTGATGAAATAGAGGTGCACATGCTGAGAGGCATCTGCTTGAATTGAATGCTTCTTATGACTGGAGTTATTGCTATAGCTTTGTTGATTGTTTTTACTTCAGAGATGATATAGGGATGAATATAGAGATGTTAATAGATACTTTCCAGAAATAGGGAGCAAATTGTTGTCCTATTACTTTGTTAAAGCAGTAAAGGTACAAACCCCCGTGTCTTTTGAGGAGAGAACTATTAAATATTTTAATAAGGGATAGTTCACCAAAAAAATTAAAATTATGATTTCATTACTGACTGTGATGTCATTCCAAACCTGTATGACTCTTCTTCTGTTCTTCAGCTGCCTAACAAGCTTATTGATTATAGTGTTGTTGTTGTTGTTGTTTGGTCCAATACATTGAGTTAGTTATAATTAGAGTTTAAGGGATTAACTGCATTAACTAGATTTTTATTTTCATTTCATGATTAGTGTTGCGAAATTATGCAAATTTGTGTATTAAACTGCATTCAGTCATGTCCCAAATATTGTTGCAGTGTTGCAAACAGTATTGCAAAGATTGCATGTAAAAAAAAAAAAAAGCTATGCTGATGTTAAAAAAATGCTTACTAAAAAAAATTACATTTGTTGACAATTTACTCTTCCATCCAAGGTCATCCAAGATGTAGATGAGTTTTTTTCTTTATTGGAACAGATTTGGAGAAATTTAGCATTTACATCACTTGCTCTCCAATGGATCCTCTGCAGTGAATGGGTGCCGTCAGAATGAGAGTCAAGACATCTGATAAAAACATCACAATAATCCATAAACAATCCATATGACCCCAAACCATCAGTTAACATTTTGTGAGGAAAAAAGCTACTTGTTTGTAATCCATCATTAAGGCATTTTCACTAGTCTGTTGCTTCTGGTCAAAATACCTATCCATAATCTACTGTACAATAATGGTTTATTCAGTGAAAAAGTCAATCGTACATCAAAGTCCACAAACACATTTGTTTAGAACAGTTTTAGGCTGTAATATAAATAAATAGTGCTTAATATTTTCATCCTGATTCAGACTAGGCAACTTTTTCATTGGAGAAAGAAATATTATGTACAGAGAACTCGTATTTTAGCAGGAAGCAATGGTTGTAATATAAACTCTCATTGTGACGGCACATATTCACAGAGGATCCATTGCTGAGCAAGTGATATAATGCTAAAGGTGTGTAAATTTGCAGCAGTTTTGTTCTCTCTTTTTTGTGAAGTGCAAAGGGATTCATAACAGACGGTAAACATTATCTCAAATCCTATAGCAAATAAATCCACAGTAGAATATTCTTAATTTGCATTTATTTTTCATAATTTACTCTCATTTTCATTAATGCAAACAGCCATCTGTCACAGACATATGTTTACTCAAAACTCAAATATCTGGAACACTTCATTTTATTCTTGAACACGCACACTCTTGGAGTTTCTCTCACTGTGTGTTTATGTTGCAGCTGACCCCATGGCACTCCACTGGCACGAGGATGCCACTAGCTGCCCACAATCCCCTTTGCCACGTCTTATTCACCCACTCTCGGCCAGCCGACGTACCAGACTCTGGTAGGTGGCCAGAGGCAAGTGGACTTTCATGACAACTGTTTAGCGGGAGAGTGACGGGCAGACGAGGAGAGAGGGGGACAGTTTATCTCACTCCAGGGATAGATCTATGAGATATCTGCCAGGCCACATGGTATCATTATGGAGCAGGTTGGATAGCACATTAGAGAATGACAACTTTCAATTTGGTGGGCCTTTGAACACAAAGGACTATCAGGAGGGGCTGCAGAACACTTGGCACTGAAGCACTGTGGGATTAGAGGAGATTAAACTGACAAAATGTGTGTGTGTGTGTGTGTGTGTGTGTGTGTGTGTGTGGATGCACCTATAATGTATCTTTTTACCTTTATATGCAGCAAAGATGTCACATGGTCTTCAAAGCTTGACACTCAAGAGGAACAATTTTACATTTTGTCTCGCAGATTGACCCAGAATGCTAAACCAGGTATTGACAATCTAATTGGTGATATTTGCTAAGACAGGAATTATTATTGCTAATGCACAAATTTATTTTGAATAACCATGTTCTACAGGAATGGATGATGGCTTAAATTATGTGACTTGTGTAGAAGAGGTGTATTATTGTATTTCTAAGTGATTTTCACCTGTATGATGATACAACGATAATATACTTTGAATGAGGAACCTGAGTCATATCTAGAGCCTGGATAGTAAGCCAAAAGTTTAATTAAGATTAAAGTCAAAATTAAGCCATAGCAACACCCTAGCAATGTGACGATTTCTGTGATCTTGGTTCCTAAACGAAACGGTGGTCCTAAGACGGCTGTTGCCTACGATCATTTTCTGACAGTTTCAGAAATTCAGCATGATCATGACACAGTGTGTTTGCTGCTACGACCCACGTTTACTACATGTACAGCCAATACAAATGCAGTAAAAAATGGCGTTGATCAACTCGAAATCACGCTAAAACTTAAAACTGCTTACCTCAAACAGCTTCCTCTTTTATCAGCAAACATAAAAAAGTACAACTGCTAAACTGTGCTTCATCATGCTCTTTTTGTTTACCACTAATGACGCTTTGTTCCTCAATAGTAACTTGCGTCGTAGCCTACGAGTCACTAGGTGTCATCATCGTACAGTCTGCATACATATTGTACCTAAGTTTATTAGATCCATGTCGCACAGTGTGGTTTGTAATGATCTCATCACTAGATAATAATGTGCACTCTTTAGGGTTAAATAAGTTAAAACAATAATTAAATACCTTTTGAAAGGGCACAATCCTAGTGACCAGTTTTGTACCTTTTTTTCTGAAATAGGGGCCATGGAGACTTGGAGTTGGACTGTTTTTGACTAACCAACCACCAAGAACACCCTAGCAACCACTTAGCAATGACATAACAACTGCATGTTTCTATAAAATGGTATATAATGATATAGTAAATATCTGTCTTTGTTTATTTATGTTCATAGATGCAGTACTGGAATGTCTGGGGGTCAGGTGGGAGCTGCATTGCTCTGTCTTGAGCTATTCAGACACATTATCTGAGCTGTATAGCAACAGCAAAAGACAGAGGGATGTTCAGCTACAAGAGAGAGCTGGTATGGTGCCCATCTAGAGTATATGCGCTGTTCCTGGTGACTGAACTCTCTTTCCATATAAAACTCAGAGATTTGCCCTTTGACCTCCTGCTGAAGACCCTGCTTAGTCCAAGGTCTCATATTTTTTTTCTTCTCTTTTTGACTTTTCAGTGGCAAATCACATTGAGAAGCACTTCCATCAGGATCTTGTTTGATTACATTGCTTTTGCATAAAGAATATGAAGCCTGTTTATAAGACCATTAGGATGTTTTGCAGCGTGACATTTTCCTTCCAAAGCTTCATTACTGCAGTGCATCAGGGTGTTTTACTTTTGCGTTTGTTTGTAATTCCCTTTATTCTCAATGGTAATTTTCATTAGATTCTCATTACTGTGATATGGTCAGGAAAATCATCCTTTCAGCAAATGTTTTCTTCATTTACATCATTTAGTTTTTTTTTTGTGGTTTGGTTTGTTGTGCATTGTTTTGTTTTCTGGGGTTGGTGGATCTTAAAAGGTCTCTGAAGAACTTAAAGCGTAGTAAATTAGTCAATAGTGGACATTTAAAAAAATGATGTTTGCCTGAAGATGTAACCATAGCAACAGTATGCTGCATGAATACTCTCAGGTAGGATCAGTATCTATTTTTAACAGTACAAACTGAAAATCGTTTGAGCATGCCACCAAGCTTGATACAAAACAACAATGGCTCAACTAATAACATGAGGATCTATCTATTTTTGTTGAGATTTTCTGTTTGGTGACACCAGTGGTGCAGGAATAGCACACATTACCTCTAAAATAGCCTTTTAAAAAGTCCTGAGAAGTAGTTGAACCCATCCAAATGTCATTATATAATGTGTACATGGGACAGAACTCTTTATTTATAAAGGAGCTCATTAAAATAGTCATAAACTATGCAGAATAATAACTTTATTACACTATTTAATAAACATTATTATGTAATAAATAATGCAAAAATGAAGATCCCATTATAGTCATCATAATAAATACTGTATACAGCTTCAGATATAAATATTTTACATTTGTTTGTGGAATGGACATATTAAAAAAGAAATTCAGGCCTTCCATTTTGTTTGTGATACTGCAGCCATACGTAAAGACAGCAAAGTTAATAGGTCTCAGTGTGAAAGAGGACTGGTCTACAGAAAGTGGCATCTCAGCGGCCCTTTGATTCTGCGACTGCCTGTCAAAGACGCCTCCATCAATAAAGAGGGTAAGCGCTAAAAAAGTGTCATATTTATTATATTATAGTGGTAAATAACAAGCTGTGTCATCATCACTTGTTGACTTGCTGTCACATGAGCTTCTTATCTACAGTAAGTGTGCTACTATTGATGTTGACTGATGAGGGGGCATACAGTGACATTTAAGGAGAAACAGAGTTATGTAAGAATCTCTGCTGTGTTCTAGCTTTGTCTTTTGCCCTGCGGACCCTGTACGACCCAGAGGAACGCCCCAGTGAGTGGGGAGAGGCTGTGCTCTCTACTGCTGCATTACTGGGAATGTCAAACCTCTTCCAGAAGTGAGTATCGACAACTTCAAATCTGTCTTTGCACTAGCAGGTTCAGAGTTACATAAAAAAATGTCTTTGATCTTCCAAGGTGTTTCATGGCACTCAGCGGGTGTTGCATGCATCAGTCCAAAAGAAGTTAAATAAAAAGCGCCCATCCATAAAAAAAGTGTCAAAGGCCTCCTGTAGCGAATCAATGCGTATTTGTAATAAAAATATCCATATTCAAAGCGCAATAATCACTTTAATGTAGCTTGCGCCAACAGTTGTACACAGAAGCAGCTCCGGGCGGATGACGTATGAGGTCGGCTTTGACCTCAGGGCACAGATCAAAACAAAACAACGGTCACTTCTTAGAAGTACAAAACGAGGATTTGTAAAGAAGAATGTTGGAGGATTTCGATATAAGCCAAGAGGTGACTGGTTTTCCTTTGCTAAAGTAAGGAAACTTTGCTTCCTTTGCTCCTGTTAACAAACGTTGGTTTTCACGAAACGCCGAACTCATACGTCATCAGCTGCTTCCGTGTAGGACTGTTGGCAGTGGTGCAGGAATAGCACACATTACCTCTAAAATAGCCTTTTAAAAAGTCCTGAGAAGTAGTTGAACCCATCCAAATGTCATTATATAATGTGTACATGGGACAGAACTCTTTATTTATAAAGGAGCTCATTAAAATAGTCATAAACTATGCAGAATAATAACTTTATTACACTATTTAATAAACATTATTATGTAATAAATAATGCAAAAATGAAGATCCCATTATAGTCATCATAATAAATACTGTATACAGCTTCAGATATAAATATTTTACATTTGTTTGTGGAATGGACATATTAAAAAAGAAATTCAGGCCTTCCATTTTGTTTGTGATACTGCAGCCATACGTAAAGACAGCAAAGTTAATAGGTCTCAGTGTGAAAGAGGACTGGTCTACAGAAAGTGGCATCTCAGCGGCCCTTTGATTCTGCGACTGCCTGTCAAAGACGCCTCCATCAATAAAGAGGGTAAGCGCTAAAAAAGTGTCATATTTATTATATTATAGTGGTAAATAACAAGCTGTGTCATCATCACTTGTTGACTTGCTGTCACATGAGCTTCTTATCTACAGTAAGTGTGCTACTATTGATGTTGACTGATGAGGGGGCATACAGTGACATTTAAGGAGAAACAGAGTTATGTAAGAATCTCTGCTGTGTTCTAGCTTTGTCTTTTGCCCTGCGGACCCTGTACGACCCAGAGGAACGCCCCAGTGAGTGGGGAGAGGCTGTGCTCTCTACTGCTGCATTACTGGGAATGTCAAACCTCTTCCAGAAGTGAGTATCGACAACTTCAAATCTGTCTTTGCACTAGCAGGTTCAGTACAAGATGTCCAAAACACAAGCTACTGCAGTCACTGTCACCTATACATACATACCAATCCAACGTTTGGAATAATTGTGATTTTTTGAAAGTCATATACACCTAGGATGACTTGAGGTTGAGTAATTTATGGACTAACTGTCATTTTTGGGTGAACTAACCCTTTAATATTACATGTTTACAACATATAGTTACTATATATTCTACATATATTTTGGCCAGGGGGAAAAATGTCTAATGGGATTGGGGGGAAAAAAACATATGTAAAATATGTCTTGTACACACAATGAAGGCCAAAGCACATACCTTTGTGTGTGCAATGTGTCATATTAAGTAATAAAAGTTTTATTCTCGATGCTATTTCTCAATAGAGTCGCATTACTCCAATATAGTCATGAAAATCACCCTTTCTCCAAACCTTTTCTAATTTACATCACATAAATGCATTGCACCAAATAATACCATGATGCGTAGACCCATATCATTATTTATATATTTTTTCTTTATTGTAATGGGTGAAATGTGATTTTGCAATTTCCCTCTGCCAAACACACAATGGTCTTAAAATAGGCCTTTTTCTTTGTGAAAAATATAATTTATTTTGATTTTGGGGTGACGTACGGCCTGGACATTCTTAATAACACTTTTATAAAGTACTTTTCTGTACTTCAAGTCACTTTCTGCATACATAATGACTATTAAAACACATACAAACTGAGCAGATGGAGTATCTACAGTAAGTGTGCTACTATTGATGTTGACTGATGAGGGGGCATACAGTGACATTTAAGGAGAAACAGAGTTATGTAAGAATCTCTGCTGTGTTCTAGCTTTGTCTTTTGCCCTGCGGACCCTGTACGACCCAGAGGAACGCCCCAGTGAGTGGGGAGAGGCTGTGCTCTCTACTGCTGCATTACTGGGAATGTCAAACCTCTTCCAGAAGTGAGTATCGACAACTTCAAATCTGTCTTTGCACTAGCAGGTTCAGTACAAGATGTCCAAAACACAAGCTACTGCAGTCACTGTCACCTATACATACATACCAATCCAACGTTTGGAATAATTGTTTTTTATATATATATATATATATTTTTGAAGAATATTCAGCATATTAGAATGATTTCTGAAGGATCACGTGACACTGAAGACTGGTGTAAATGCTGCTAAAAATTCAGCTTTGCAATCACAGGAATAAATTACATTTTTTTATTTTAAGTGTATTTGTATATAAATGTATTTTAAGCCATGCTGTTTAAAACATATATTTAGTTTCTACATATATTTAGGTATGAAAATAAATCATAGGTTAGGAAAGATTTGATAAAGGGTCACACAGAATATGTCTCCTACAAAAAAAGAAAGTAAAAAAACACACTATTCCTGTGTGTGTATGTAGTGTGTCATATTAAGCAATAAAGACTGATCCAGTAGTGCATAAGCCCACACCCAAGTCTCTAGAAAAGTTTGTGTTGTCCATTCTCAGATTGATTCATATCCAGGATGTTGGGTGGAACTGGATGTGAATTTTGGCACTGCAGTCAGTCACTGTATTTATTTGAAAGATATTTTTCAAATAAGATCACCCATGTTCCACCCAGCAGAGTTTAAACTACAGCGTGCATTGCATAACAGTGCATTTCTCCCTTGGTCATGGGTGCGTCAATTTGTAATCTTTAATGGGAATTAAATTTTACACACAGTCACGAATGCTCATATGTTTATTTTTTAGAATGCCACTTCAGAATATCAGAAATAATCCAGACATATATGAATTCACAGTGTTGAATGGTATATCCAATATTTTGTCCTTTTAAAGCTGATGGATATGATTGACAGGTGTCTTAAAGAGATGTTGGCAAATATTTCATCACTGACTGTGTGCAGCTTTAACATATAGTTACTATATATTCTACATATATTTTGGCCAGGGGGAAAAATGTCTAATGGGATTGGGGGGAAAAAAACATATGTAAAATATGTCTTGTACACACAATGAAGGCCAAAGCACATACCTTTGTGTGTGCAATGTGTCATATTAAGTAATAAAAGTTTTATTCTCGATGCTATTTCTCAATAGAGTCGCATTACTCCAATATAGTCATGAAAATCACCCTTTCTCCAAACCTTTTCTAATTTACATCACATAAATGCATTGCACCAAATAATACCATGATGCGTAGACCCATATCATTATTTATATATTTTTTCTTTATTGTAATGGGTGAAATGTGATTTTGCAATTTCCCTCTGCCAAACACACAATGGTCTTAAAATAGGCCTTTTTCTTTGTGAAAAATATAATTTATTTTGATTTTGGGGTGACGTACGGCCTGGACATTCTTAATAACACTTTTATAAAGTACTTTTCTGTACTTCAAGTCACTTTCTGCATACATAATGACTATTAAAACACATACAAACTGAGCAGATGGAGTAAATCAGCAGGAAACTAATAAGCTTTCTGTGTCTAGACTGTTCACATCTAATGAGTATGAGGTCTTGAGAGCAGTGCTGTGCTGGCTGTACCTGCAGTTAAACCCCCTCAGACAGACCCTACCAGCCCACAGCACCATCATCACCTTCTTCTCCAAGTACGTATCCTCCTTTATGGCATTTACAGCTATCAGCAAAACACAATGCACGTGATCCATTAGTGTAATTCCAGATAGTAAAAGCCCCATTTATGGAGGACATTACAATAATTCAGTACACTATTCGTTCTTTTTTAAATGACCTTGATACGGCTTAGCTAGTTCCATGCACATATGCTGTTTTAATGACATCCCTCCATCATATATCTGTCTGTTTCAGGGAAACGGCTGTTTTCTTGGAACAGCCTCAGGGTCAAAAATACATCACTATCTTTCAAGCCCTTCGTATGCATGGCATTACTGAATGTAAGTTTTGATTGCTTCATGATAGATGCTCACAACATCACAAACTAACATTGTCTACAGCATTAGATTGGTCTTCTAAACCAAGCATACATCTTTGTCTCCAATCTCTGAATACTGTTATGCCTCATTGTTAGTTTAACTGAAAACAGACAGTTTGACAGAATGAATGCGTATATCGCCACGAGAGTGTGTCCAGACAAACAGTACGTCCCAGCTACAGGATCACGTCATGGCCACAGTCAGAACCTCATCCACTGGACCTCCAACGCCCACCAAACAGATGTGACAACACTATCAACTTTTCTGAAATACTTCACAGGCACTGTCATACTACTGATGTGGACTATTTTTTAGATCTTAAAGGGATAATTCATCAAAAAGGAACATTTGTTTGTTATACTCCCCACCATGTCCCAATTCAAACTTGCATGGACAAAAAACGTGTTGTAGTGTCCAAGTGTCAAGACACGTAAAAATGACAGAACATGTGGGGAAACCTGTTTGGAAACAGTTATTATCACTGTTTGCTCATATGCAGAATCATGGATCTAAACAAACTCTTAACCCTACATACTAAGTACATAAATTATCCCGCACAAGATACAGGGATGAACTCATTTAATGAGGGGAATGTTGCAATTTAGCATCAAACTGTTTCATAATTCACATAAAAAAAACATAAATAAAACAAAGTTCTCTTCAACTAATGTTAAAGGAATAGTTCACCCAACAATCTAAATTAGCTGAAAATGTACTTACTCTTGGGCCATCCAAGATGGAGTTTGTTTCTTCATCAAACAGATTTGGAGAAATTTTAGCTTTACATCACTTGCTCACCAATGGACCCATGAAATGCCATCAGAATGAGAGTCAAAACAGCTGATAAAAACATCACGGTAATCCACAAGTAATAACAAGACTCCAGTGAAATGAAAAGATTCATGTTTATTATAAACAAATCTATCATTAAGATGTTTTTAACTTCAAACCATTACTTCCGGCTAAAATATAAGTCTTCTATCCATAATATTGCTTTCTCCAGTGAATCAGGAGAGAAATATGCACAGATCAAGCACCATTTTTAAGTGAAAACACTCTCAAACTTTGTTCTTAACAAATATGTTGGTGGTTTTTAAGAGGACTGGTATTTTAGACAGAAGCAACAGATTGAAGTTAAGCTGCCTTAATGATGGATTTGTTTCTTACAAACATGCAGCTATTTAATTGAACATTAAACGTTAATTGATTGACTTGAGTTGTGGTAATTACTTGTGGTTTATTGTGATGTTTTTTTTTCAGCTGCTTGGACTCTCATTCTGACGGCACCCGTTCATTGCAGAGGAATTGTTGAGCAAGTGATGTAATGCTAAATTGCTTCAAATCTGTTCTAATGAAGAGACAAAATCATCTACATGTTGAATGAATACATTTTCTGCAAAGTTTTATTTTTGGGTGAACTATTCCTTCAGCCAAACACTATACTTGTTGGGAGAAGTAGCTTATCACTGGAAAAGCTACACTGTTTTGGAAATAACAGACATGTTCTTGCCTAAGTTAGAAGCATTGCTACTTTTAGTTTACTACCCAACACTATATTTGAGTTATGTTGTTTTTGTGTGTTCATGTCTCAGGGCAGCATCTGCAGGAGCTGCAAGACATCAGAGTTCTTCCTGAATCCTGGCTGCTGCACATCCTGTCCAGTCATTACCACACTGTGAGTGTGTGTGTGTGTAGAGATCACAAACACAACACCTTATTCAACCCACCCGTCACTCCAGATGTACCGCCATACATAATTCACTGCTTGTTTTAATATAAGTTGTATTGATTTTTTGGCTCCAAGTGAAAACTAATTAATTAGCTGCAGGGTTTATCTGTGTGTTTTTTCCATAGCTTTACAGCGGGGGCGACATGGTATTGACTGACTTCTCCAAACAAGCTATCCGTTTTGGAATGATGTTTGATAGGGTGCGGTACACTTTCTGACACTTCAACACTGATGCATTATGGCCATTCCTGGAGCTTTTCAGTCCTTCAGTCACTTGCAATTACAGTTGTTACAATATGACAAACTCAATCCATGCTTTTTCTTTCATGCTCGTGTTCTTTTACTTGCTTGTAAGGCAGTATTTTGTGTGTTGTTTTTCCTTGTGTCACTGTCCAGGAAGAAGTGTGCTGCACTCAAACCATCAGCATCTATGGCTTTTACTTTCTTCTCCAAGCTGCTAAAATGGGCGAATCAGATACATACAGCTTCTCCATTGAGGTTAGAGCATTCACAGCTTCATATACCCTTGTGAAAAAGAAGTGCGCATAATTGTATCAAATGTGCACTTGTAGTGTACTTCAAACCTTTAAACTATATTTAAAAAACGTACATTGCAGATGATATAATGTTAATGATATATATAAGTCCATCAAAGTGTATTTAAAGAGAGGACACTTTTCATGACCAAGTCTCAACACACAAAGTGCACTTTGTTAAATGTGTCAAATTATAAGTTTTACTTATCATGCTTTAAAAAGTACACTTATTTTGATGTGTTGACTAAGTACGTGATGTAGTGTGTTATTTGATATTACATTTAAAGTTAACATATTTGTGACTTCATTACAAATGTGTAATAACAAACATATTTATGGCATACAAGTTTCAATGGAAATGATAAGTGTAATTTATTTAGCCATAAATGCTTGCCAGTATGCAGTTTAGCCACATTGCAAAGACAATAAAAGCAATATATAGAGATCTACTTACTTAATTGGATCAAAAAGCACTCTGTCACACTTTATTTTAAGGCCCAGTTCTCGCTAAACCATTAACTACGACTTTTGCATTGATGCACTCCTAGTTTGCTGCTTATTAATATTTAGTAAGGTAGTTGTTAAGTTTTAAGGTATTGGGTAGGATTAGAGATGTAGAATATGGTCATGCAGTATATGTGCTTTATAATTAATAAACTAGCCAATATGCTAGTATAGGCATGCTAATAAGCAACTAGTTAATAGCGAGTATTGGTCCCTATACTAAAATGTTAACTTAAAATCATTGTTTGCGTTTAATATCAATTTAAATTGTAATATATTTTAGTTGTAAATGAATAACATGCAATTAAGAGTCTGAGAAATTACATTCAGCTTGTGCTTAAGTATTTTATTTTAAAGTAAATTATTACCATAATAAATTATCTTTTTAAAAGTATCCTAAAGTGTACTTCTTTTTCACAAGAATATGTCTAACAAGTTAGGACTTATTACGTCTTAAGTATCCACCAGATGGCACTTTGAGATGGAGCTATCAATGTATTTCATTTATGTATTCAACTGGTGTTGTGTAAAGCAATTCACCCACAATATTGTCATCACTCATGCATTCTTATGTCATTCAGTTTCATTATTGTAGTCAAACCTGCCTACGAGGCTTGACACACCATTTTTAAATCTAGGCATGCATGAATTCCACAAAAGGAAAAGAAAAAAAACTCATACATTTTTTATCTTTTATATTTTAGGGGGAACTCAGAGATTCCTCAGAACATATGTCATCTTCTCCTACCCTCCTTCTAACTCTCTCTCTCTCTCTCTCTCTCT